AGCAACGGATGGAAACTGATCAAGGAGAGAAGCAACTTAGAACTAAGGAGAAACTTCCTGACAGTTAGAACAATTAACCAGTGGAACAACCTGCCTCCAGAAGCGGTGAATGCTCCAACACTGGAAGTTTTTAAGAAGAGACTGGACAGCCATTTGTCTGAAATGGTGTAGGGTTCCTGCCTGAGCAGGGGGTTGGACTTGATGACCTCCAAGGTCCCTTCCAACTTTATTATTATTATTATTAAGTTACAGCGGCACTGAAAATAGTTACTTAAGATTGGTCCTTGCACTTACATCTGTTGCAGCATCTCAGTGGTCGCTTGATCAAAAATTTGGGCGCTTGGTAACCAGGTTGCAGTCTCCCGGGGTCAGGTTTACAAACCTTTTCAACTGGCTTCCAACAAGCCAAATCAATGAGGAAGGCTGAATTTTTTTTTTTTGAATAACCACAGGAGTCACTTAACAATTGCGGTGATTTGCTTAACAGCCATGGCAAAAAAGTCATAAAATTGGTTGTGACTCATTGAACAATTGTTTTGCTTAATAACGGAAATTCTGGTCTCAGTTCTAGTCATAAATTAAGGGCTAGATGTATTGCAGTAGCACTTTCCTGGACATCCTAGCAAATGCCTTGCTAATCAGCTATAAGGTCAGCTAGATTGTGCTTCAGTGGATAGCTAAGCATCCCTGAAATATTTTTAGTTTGTTCTTAGCTGGTGGTGATTGGTGGAGCATGGGTCTCTAAAACCAAGCTTGAAACTTTCCAAAATAATGTGGGAAGCTGGGGTTTATCATCTGCCTTTTCTGGATCACCTGGACTATGATTCTAAGTAGCATGGTCACTTCCTGGTTTTAAAATTAACTTTTTAAGCATGAGAAAAATCATAAAGATTAAGGGACTTTGGGGGCTCAAGACTAGAAAACAACAATTTAAGGTCCTTGCTTTATTCAAATAAGTGCTTGTCTTCTTTCTTGTCTACCGTGCTGCAGGTAGTTAATCGTGGTGACCCATATCCACAAGAGGTGGGAGCTACTGTTCAAAAGGTGATGGAGAAACTCGGCCATTGTAATCCATATAGGCTTGTGTGGCAGTCCAAGGTATGTCATCCCAGGGAACTCTGATAAAATGCTTCTCCATCATTGAATTTGTTTGGGGTTTATTCAGTCTGAATCTGGCTTTGGCTTCATCTGCCAATTGTTATAAAGTATGTTCTGGTGCTATACATCAGTCAAATAAGACAGCTTCTGTTTCAGAGGTTGGGCACAGAAGAAGTTAAGGATGGTGATGACCGGTTAAGTACTTGTGTAAGAGATTACCAAGGAATACTAGGGTTGTCGGCTAGACTAGGAAATTTAAAAATATTGTAGAAGAACGAAAGGACATCACTTGTCTTTTGCTACCAAGAAACGGCAAGAACATGTCCACAAAGTTGACTCTATCTCAGTAGGCCCCTGAGCACCCTTGTCTGGGCTCCAAACTAATCAGTGTCAGGCAATAATTGGGTGGGAGAGTCTTAGCAGAGAATTCCAAGACTGGAGGCTAGTTGACAAATGTTTTCTAGAGAAAAAAGCAATTGAAAACTCCCAAGAAATCTATGGACGTGTCCATTAAGTTGTCAGGAATTGAGCTTGACTTGAAGAAGGTTCCTTTGTAGTTGAGAAAAATCTAACAAACAAAATGGAGGCTGCATCCTCCCTCCCCATTCCAGTCTTGTGGGCATGAATCCAGTTTGGATTCATGCCCAAATGACCCTCCCTGCCCTAGACAATGCCCATCAGGCCAAAGAATAGAAGCCGTCCACCATCTCCCAGTACAGCCCAAGGGCAGTCCTAACAAAGGAAATTGCAGCATAGAGAAACCCCAAACTTCCATCTTCCATTGATTGGTGATCTCAGTATTGCATCTTCTTTAACGATGGGCTTTCTCAAGTCTACTGCCCTCCTGAAAGGCTTTGCCTAACAGTAGAAATAACAGTAGAAATAACTCCAAGTACAGTGACAAGTATCTGCCTGTCAGGTGCAAAGGATTAGGGCCATTCATAAAGATGCAGCGTAGATGATTTACTGAAGCCTACATACAAAAATCTAGTCAACTAATGGTTAGCACTAAATTGGTTCAACAGAATTCACTTGGATATCTTGTGGTAACGCAAGGCTTCTAAACTGACGACATTTTTAACTCCACCACCACCACCACCCCGCTCTGCTTGCTCTTCTACACTGCCTAGCAAATCAGATCTCTAGGATTTTCATCTGTGTAGCCCTCAACGTCTATAAAAAGTCTTTGCTTTTTCATTATTTGGGATTCCTCTTTCTTGTAAAGCATATTCTCCTGTGTCAAACATTTGCATTATGAAATAATCCTCAATTTATGATCATAATGGAGTCTGGATTTTCTCTTGTAAGTCATGGCAGTCATAAATTGACTTTTCTGGTGATTGTTAAGTGAACACCATGGTCATAAAGCAAATGCCACAGTCATAAAGTGAATCCATTCATTCCTGTGGGTGTTTTTTGCTGGAAATTGACTGAACTGAAACTGGCAAAAAAAAAAAGTCTGTTATTCTGTTAAAATTCTTTCCCTTGCTGCGTTGTCTTTCCCCTAATCTATATGTTTTTAGCCCACTGTCATCTCCGTCATGATATAATGCAGACCTTGTGGTTTATTCAGAACCAGATTTGGGGATACAAGTCTACAGCTAACCTAGAAGAATGATTAGGATTCCCCACCTGCCTCTAACCAATGTTTGGAAAGAAGAGAATGTTTTGAGAGGGGATAGACAAAGCAAAGACTCATTGGAAAAGACCCTGATGTTGGGAAAGACTGAAGGCAAAAGGGGAAGGGGATGGCAGAGGTTAGATAGTGTCATCAGTGCAATGAGTATGAATTTGGACAAATTGGAGGAGAAAGTGAAAGACGGGGGGGGGGGCATGGTGTATTCTGGTCCATGGGGTCACGAAGAGTTGGACGCACTGTTGAACAACCACCACAACAATACTAAATTGTCGTTTCTAAAAACTCCCTTCTTTCTTTTGCTGTCGCAGGTCGGCCCAATGGCTTGGTTGGGTCCTCAGACGGACGACACTATTAAGGGCTTTTGCCAGAGGGGGAAGAAGAACATTTTGTTAGTTCCAATAGCATTCACCAGCGATCACATTGAAACCCTCTACGAGCTTGACATTGAATATGCGCAGGTCTTAGCCAATGAGGTAACGCCATCATTTTTCTCACCACGGTTTGCCTGTAGCTCCTTAACAAGTGTTCCCAAGCTTCAAGTAAAAAGGTTTAGGATTATTACAGGTTGGGTTTTCCCTCACACTTTCAACAGATGTAATACTACACAAAGGAGCTGTAAGTTGAAAGATAAAATAATGCATGTTTGACATTGGCTCAGAGAGTTGAGGACACAGTTCCATTTCTGACTCAGTGGTTTTCACCCTGGGGCTTTCTAAAGGTGTTGGCACTACAACTCCCAGGATTTCAAGCAGCCTGGCCAATGTTCATCTCCTGTTGGAAGGATAGGATAGTCCATGTGGACAGATAGGATTTTGAGGAGATGTTGCTGCCTGAATGACAATAGACAGTCAGGTAACAACGATTTCACCAAAGGCAAGAAAGTGAGGCAGCCCCACACCTTCCTTTCTAGCCTGCATAGCAGTGCTTCTCTACCTTGACATACTAGCTGGGGAATTCTGGGAATTGAAGTCCACATGTCTTAAAATTGCCACGGTCGAGAAACACTGGAATAACGAATTGATGTCGGCCTCTGTCCCAATCAAATGGAATTGGACAGTTGAATGGTGAAGAGGGATTTTGAAGGGGGACTATGAAGAGAGGCTTTTGAGAACGAAATATGAGAANTTGTGCTTGTGAAAATGAACTGAATTTAGCTCTAATTCCATTCCTATTGCTCTAGCGAAAGACTAAGCCTTTTTCCTTCTCTTATTCTTCAGTGTGGAGTTGAAAATATCAGAAGAGCAGAATCCTTGAATGGAAATCCATTGTTCGCCAAGGTACTGGTTCCCTCAGTCATGGAAAAACCCAATGAAAAAGACAAGAGGCAACAACACAAAACAATAATTCTTACTTTAAGATTCAGAGGTTTATTTTGCTAATAATTTGGAACATAGCAAACATGATAGCACAACATTACTCACATTAGTAACCCATTGCAATGAGGTCCAGTGACATAGCAGGTCCAGCAAGGACAGTTATAGGCCAATGGCAAATCAATCAGGTCCAGTCCCAACTTTGTATACTCTTTCTCATCCTAAGACCGTAGACAGATTGTCAGCAATCTTACACTTTCTGCTGACTTTTCTGCTGAACGTAACTTTCCTCATATACCCGTGTACATTGGAACCTGCATCCATCAGCTACTTTTAGTTCCCTATTTCTTACTGTTCCAGTCCTTATGTTCTAAATATATTTAAAACAAGCAAGCTTAGCAAAATCATATTAAGTAAAGTAAAATTGCAAATTGCAAAATTAAGCATAGCACAGACTTTGGTTCAATACTTTTTCCATGAGGCCTGATTTAGTTCACCTGAGCATAGAAGAACAATATTCAATATTTTCGTTTTCCACACTTATTTCCCTGAGGGGGGAAAATTATTTTATTTATTTATTTTTCATATTTCTGAACCGCCCATCTCCCTCAGTGAGGGAGAAATGTGGGATTCTCCAGAGAAACCACTACAGGTAGGCTCCTTTTTCTCTGGCAGGAATGGTTCTCTTTTGGTGGCCACGTGTAACATTTTTGGAGGGCCGAGGATTACCAAGTGGGTGGGGTCACTTTATCCATGGAAGCAGGCCTAGATGGAGGAATTCTGGCAGCTTCTTTTGCTTCTTCTAAAACGGGGTGTCAAACTGGCGGCACGCGGGCCGGATGCATCACACGCAGGCCACGCCCACCCCAGCTCCGCAAAGGCAAAAAACATTGCGACACGTCACGATACATCACGTGACGCGACCAAATTTGACACCCGTGTTCTAAAGTGTGATATGCCTATTATAGGATTTTCATGTGTTGTAGGCAAGTCTTCTATCAGTTCTCTGATTGGCAGGCTCTAATGGGCGCAGATATGGGGCCCAGGGATATCTTAGCTTCCCAGAATTGCTTTTCCTCCACTTACTGAGGCCACTGTTCACTCTCATTTACATTTCCTATTTTGGGACCTGTTGTATTTTTGTGTTGATGGAATCCTATCTTGCATATGCTCAGTCAGAGACAAATCCAATTTTGGGCCTTCCAGATATATTGGAAAAGTAATTAAAATTTTTAATCCCAGAACATCTGGAGGATGTTCACTTAGACCAGGGGTAGTCAACCTTGGCTCTTTTATGACTGGTGGACTTCAACTCCCAGAATTCCTGAGCCAGCTGGCTCAGGAATTCTGGGAGTTGAAGTCCACCAGTCATAAAAGAGCCAAGGTTGACTACCCCTGACTTAGACAGAGCTTGTTCTGGCTCCCTACTTGCTGCTTAATGGAGTTCTTAAACATAAAAATTATGAAAACAAGGGTATAAATAAAGGATTGCAATATTGTATTGAAAAACAATGGAAAACTTCTGATTAGCAAATTCTTGCTGATTCCTTTTTAAAGTATTAGTTATTCATTGGTATTCTCCCTCCCTCTCCATTTCAAGTACAGGTAGTCCTTGACTTTCAACCAGACTTTGTGACAAGCAAAGTCAATGGGAAAACTAGATTCATTTAACAACCTTGTTACTAACTTAACTGCAGTGGTTCACTTAACAACTGTGTCAAGAAAGGTCGTAAAATGGTGCAAAACTCTCTTAACAACTGTCTCACTTAGCAACAGAAATTTTGAGCTCAATTGTGGTCGTAAGTCAAGAACTATATATATAGGTATGTGTATATCAATAATCACGCTAACCACCGTCATTATGCTTAAAGTTTTATTTGCTCATAGACTAGCTTGCTAGCAGATTAGAAATTTATTGTGATCATTTTACTTAAATGTATTTTTTCATACTTTTCAGGCTCTGGCAGATTTGGTCTGCTCACACCTCAAGTCGAACGAACTATGCTCCAAGCAGTTAACACTCAGTTGCCCGCTTTGTGTGAATCCCACTTGCCGAAAAACCAAATCATTTTTTACTAGTCAGATATTGTGAAAATGTATACTGGCAGGTGCTATCGGGTCATTGGCTGGAGTAGAAAATACAGATTCTGTGAAAAGTGCCCATTTATTCTGCCTTCTTTTGCCCCTCTCAGGTCTGCATTTTGCTCTCCTTGTAGGATTTGCACAGAGGTGAAAGAGCTACTACCACTTTTTCCACTGCTTTGGTTTTCCTTGAGGAATTTTGCATTGGAAGGGACACCACATTTTAAGGGCTCCGTCTTCTGAGTTGCTGAAAATCCCCATTTTATAAAATTAAACAGAATGCATGAGGTTCTTAGAATTTGATGGCCTCTGAAGGAGAGCAAAATTTTGATTACTTGGACAGGTGCTCTAACCTTGTTGTGCCAGAGTGATGTTGAAGAAAATCTGTTCACTTCGTAGGAATTGACCCTCCTTCAAAATAGGGAAGCTTGATTCTAAAAGGACCATATCTAGGGTTTTGAGCCAAGGATGCAGGCTGAATGTCTTTACAGAAAGCCTTTCACAAAAATACTTGTCAAAAATATTTAATTCCGCCATTTTGGTAAGTGGTATTTTTTTAGGCAAACAGAGATCTGGCATTGAAGCTTTGCAACTTATAAGAGTCTGATGATGAAACCGTTTTAATTTTCCAATAATTTCAGCTGACATCTAATGTATAGATAAATAATTTGTTTGTTTTTTAAAAAAAGAATAGTGGGTATATATTTTTTAATTTGATATTTCTTTTTGTACACAGTCTCCATTTCCTATTTTCACCATGCAGAATGGAAGCAATGTCCCAATTGTGTTTGCAAAGTAGCGTTTTCTAAGGTATTGCTATATTAGTTTTTTGTCGTGAAAATAGCAGAAGGTCTTGCATTAGTTCAGTGTTTCTCAGTCTGAACAACTCTAAGATGGGTGGACTTCAACTCCCAGAATTCCCCAGCCAGCATGCTGGCTGGGGAATTATGAGAGTTGAAGTCCACCCACCTTAGGTTCAGGTTGAGAAACAATGCATTAGCTTAAAGCAGGGTGTCAAACTGGCAGCCCATGGGCCAGATGTGTCACACACAGGCCCCGTCCACCCTAGCTCCGCAAAGGCAAAAAACATCGTGATATGCCATGATACGTCATGTGACGCGATCGAGTTTGACTTAAAGACTAACAAACTATGTTTAACTATCAATGGTCTGAGCAGCACACAGTCACACTACTTAAAGTGGCACTGAGAAGTTTGTGAACCCGTTTGAATTCTCAATACTTCTGCATAAATAGGATCTAAAACGTGATCTGTTCTCCACACAAGTCCCAAGACAAGATAAAGAGAACCTAATCAAATAACTGAGGCAAAACCATTACCCTTGTCTACTTATTCATTGAGGAAAACAATCCAAAATTAATTTTATATACAAAAAGGGTTTGCAAACGTTTAAGCCCCACTGTATGGCCTTTTTTTTCTCAAATGCAGGGTCCTTTGCTACATCCTCCAAAAGTGCCTAATATCCCATTAGCCTTGTGCCAGGAAAACTGGCAAGTCTTTAAATAGCATAGTATGGAAAGTTGGTGGCTTACCAGTGAGTTAGTCATATAAATCTTGGATTATCTAGCTCAGTGATGGTGAACCTTTTAGAGACCGAGTGCCCAAACTGCAACCCAAAACCCACTTATTTATCTCCGGGTGCCAGGTGGGCATGGCCCACTGGGTGGGTGTGGCTGTGGTGGGCATGGCAGATTGGGTGGGTGTGGCCAAGGTGGGAGTGGTCACCTCGATGTTGCTCGTGGGGAGGGACGCCTGTGAGGGCCAGGCAGGGTTGAGGGAGATCCAGGTGGTCTCTGTGGGTGGGGCGGTGGGCAGGAGGCTCATCCTGTGAGGTGAGGCAGGGCAAGGTGAAGCAGGGGCCGTGGCGGTTGCTGCCTGACACCATCGGCCCCAGCACAAGAGGCCAGCGAGCGCATGGGGGCCGACAGTGTCCGTCAGCAGCCACAGCCTGTTGGCCCCTCGACCGGCGCACTCTGGGCCTCCGCAGCTGAGGAGGTGATGCGGTGGGTCGTTCCCAGAAAAAGGAGAGCATGCGAGGCCAGGAGGGATGGGACAAGGGGGAGAGAAACCAGCCATGCTGGGATGCATCTGGCCACGTGGGACCTCGGCAAGTAAGCGGGCAGCTGGTTGAAGAGGGACAGTTGCCATCTCTGGGGCATGGCACGCGTGCCCACCGAGAGGGCTCTGAGTGCCGCCTCTGGCACGCGTGCCATAGGTTCGTCACCACTGATCTAGCTGCTCTAGAACACAAACACCTTTCCTTGGAGAACTGAATAGTCAGAACTGGGCAACTGCTCTGTCTTTGGGTTATGATGATCCTTGGTAAGGCCCATGGGGTGGCAATACACTTTAATCCAAACCAAACCAGGTCTCTCTGGGGTTCCAGCTCCCCTTTCGAACCACACAGCCCTCTGGATGTAGACAACCTGCAAAGCACAGCAATCCTGCTCATGTCCTAGTCAATTATATCATGCGAATACAGCCATTATTGCAGGACTCTTCACTTCATTAGAATGTAACTCATGAAAGTTTATGTGATACATTTGTCAGTCTTTAAGCTGTCATGAGATTAAAGTTATTTTTCTGAAAATTTTAAAATTGCGTGTTTTTGGTGTTTGTATGAAGGATTTTTTTCCTGATTCCTTGGAAAAGTGCAGTGTGAAAGAAACGGGTAGTAAACACCAATTTCCAGCAAAAAAAAATTGTAAATTGGAGTCATGTAACTGCAGGATGCTGCAAGCAACTGTGAGTGTGGGCTGGTTACCATCCACCCAAAATAAATCACATGACCATGGAGGCATTGGAACACCAAATATGGGTTGTAATAAACCCTGGGAAGTTATAACTTCAAAAGGTCTCTAAGCAGCCAATTGTAAGTTTAGGACCACTTGGGATGGTTTGACTTCCTACTGTTTCATCCAGAAGGGGGAATCTGGATTAAAAACATCATCCTTTGTTCAAAATACCACTTCACCAAGAGGACATTCTAAGCTTGCTTAGTTTTTTTAAAAAAACATAACAAACTACACTACTAACGTCAGCGGTGCTTGGAACTGACTCTTGTTAATTGTTGACACTAAAGTTGTTATAAAAAGTTCCACAAAGCCAGGCTCCTCTTCCTTCTAATCTAGAAACTATAGAAGCTTCTTTCTCTTTGGATAAATAAGAATGACAGATTATTCTTCAGAGCTGCTTGATGGATCTATTTATCACTTCCAAGCCGGCAACCCACAGTGAGTTTCATAGGATTTGTATGGATGCAAATTGCCTGGGATTTAATTTATACCAACCCCAACACACAGGGCTGTGGTTGCCTGGAAGGTTGCACCTGGCAAGTAGAGGATTATAAATTTGTGGTAATGTGGCTAAGTATAACATGAGGCTATGTGTATTTAAATTGAAGTTTGACCAGAGAGGAGAAGGCGACAAGGTTAACATGAAAAGGGAGCCTGATTCTATCTGTGTCACTTAATCAGCAACCAGCTCATTAAAACAAAGTATACAGGGTAGCCTTCAACTTATTGTCCATTCATTTAACAACTTTTTGAAGTGACAACACTGCTAAGAAAAGTGGCTTACAACAGGTCCGCTCATAATCATCAAGTGTCCTTGTGGTCACCTGACTGCAATTTGGGTGCTTGGCAGGTGGCGTGTATTTATGATCATTAAGACACTGGGCTTGTGGGTCAGAAGCTTGGCAGTTTTGAGACCCAAGCACCCTGGGATGGATTGATCTCTTGTTCCTGCTTGAGCTACTGCCAACCTATCAGTTCGAAATCATGTGAGTAAAATAGGTACCATTTCGGTGGGACGGTAATAGCGTTCTGTGTACCTTTGGCGTGTAGCTATGCTGGCCATGTCACCATGAAAAATATCTTCGGACAACGCTGGCTCCCTCAGCTAAGAATAAGAAGAATAGAACAGAGCTGGAAGGGACCTTGGAGGTCTTCTAGTCCAGCCCCCTGCTCAAGCAGGAGGACTGATACCATCTCAGACAGGTGATTGTCCAGTCTCTTTTTAAAAACTTCCAGCAATGCAGCGCCCATGATTTCTGAAGGCAAGCTGTTCCACTGGTTGATTGTCCTCACTGTCAGGAAGTTTCACCTTAATTCCAGGTTGCTTCTCTCTTTGATCAGCTTCCAACCATTGTTTCTCGTCTTTTCCTCTGGTGCTCTAGTGAATGACCTGACTCCCTCTTCTTTGTGGCAGCTCCTCAGATACTGGAACACTGCTATCATGTCTCCCCTATTTCTTCTTTTCTTTAGATTGGCAAAACCCAAGTCCCGCAGCTGTTCTTCGAATGTTTTGGTCTCCAGGCCTTTGATCATCTTAGATGCTCTTCTCTGAATTTTTTCCAGACTCTCAACATCTTTTTTGTGATATGGTGACCAAAATTGGCTGTAGTATTCCAGGTGTGGTCTTACTAGGGTATGGTGGTATGGTGCTATGGTGGTATGGTGATGAGCACCACTCCACAGAATCAGACATGACTCGGCAGAGGAAATCTTTATTTGTAAAAAGAAGAGAAGGGAAGAATTGGGGGGGTGGGGGGGAGCCATAAAGCTGTTATATAGTAAAACCAGTATTACAAGAGTAGTCTTTCATATAAACGTGAAGTTATTTAATAAAATAATTAACATGTCAACTTGGAAGAAGTTAGAAAAACAGACACTAGCTTATAAACTAGAATATGCTGTCTAGGAGCCTAACGCAGAAATGTCCAAATGTATTGTTCAAATACAGAGAAAGGGAATTCTTCGGGCATTGTATAATTGGCCGAGAATGAGTCTCCTATCACCTCATACCCATTTCTTTTTTGCAATCATAAAAAAGGGCAATCATTGATCTCCATTCTCCTGTTCGAAATTGTTGACATGTCGTTCAAAGTCACAGAGTCGTTTGTAGAAAAATGAGCTTCCTAGAACAAAATGAACATGTGAAATAAATGTTGTGGAAAAAGAAGTTTCTGTAATGTACGACCCTATTCTGTGACCCTATGGATGCATAATTGGATCTCCCATAAAATAGTCTTGCGCCAATT